GACACGCTGCCAGAAGATCTGGCACTGGCAGGGAGCAGGCAGCCATGGGCAGCATTCAAACCCTGCTTATTGCAGAAGGGGGCTGTGCGGCACAGAGCCTTCACCCCAACGTCTACCGTGCCAGGGGACGGCAGGAGCAGACTGTGAAGGAGGCCAAGCATCTCATGTCCCAGGAAGGGTCCCAGCACTTTCTTTCATGGCTCTTCATATTCTTCTTCCTCTTTTCATGTCCTTCCTTGCTGCAGACACTGGGTCTGTGCACAGGAGGATCAGGCTTGCAGGAGGTGAATGGAGTTTTAGAGACCCATGCACCTTACACATGTGCACATGGATACATGCTCACACACACACAGACACCCACATCCCCCAAGTCACTTCTGTGGCTGCATCCAAAAGTTTGGCTGCCCAGCCTGGAGCTGTCACCCAGGTTGGGAGTTTCTGGGATGGGAAGAGCTGGAAGGGGATAATTATCTCCAGGTGCTGATGAAGGTGAAATTATCTCCAGGTGAAATTGAGGAACAGAGCAGGGAACTGCAGTCCTCGTCTCTGCTGTCATCCCATCATCAACAGCATCTGAGAGGTCTGCAGGCAACAGAGAAGAGGTGTCCAGGCTCCCATCCCTAAGACATCCCCGGCCAGGTCACCAGCCACCCCCAGCAGCAAACCCTGCCACTAACCCCTCCCTCTACCCCATCAATCACTGCCCTCCATTGGCCGAGGACCTTTTAAAAAGGATTTATTAGGGGGGATTAAAGCACGGGCGGTGATAGGGTTCTATAAATCGAATGGCAGTCATGCTCATCCTTACCGGTCCATTCGAGGGGTGGCACCCCTGCTCCCCCCGGCCCCCCGGCCCTGCTAACAGCCTCCTCCCCAGCACCGCTGCCTCCGCTGCTCCCCTTCTCCTCCCCGTCTGTGGAGACCGTGAGCGTGGAAAATCCCCAGACAGGGAGTGTAAATGCTTGTTCTTTGTAAATGAAGAACATAATTAACATTAAATTAAGGTAATACAAATGAAGACAACACAGAGCCTGACAGGATGAGTGTTTGGGGAGGCAGTAGAGAGAAGTGATTCATATTTTTAATTTACTGTACAAATAGACTAGCAGGGCTGGGGGGAAAAGGGCCATCCAAGTGGAGTGGGGATTTCTTTTTTTTTCCCACTGTTGTTTTGCTGTGCTTTAAGCACACAATGACTATTAAAGTCAACTGCCCATATAATAGGACATCTCCTACATGACTGCTCTCCGAGAGGCAGCTTGCTGTAGCAATAAATTCTGGGAGTGCCATCTGCTGGTGTGCACCCACCGATGGGCACCCTCACCTTGGCCACCCCGACACCGGGCATCCGCACCCGGACCAGCCCCGGCACCCCACAGAGCACCGGCCGCGGACCTGCAGGTGTTAATACAGGAATTATTGGGTTTACTATAAGGTAAAACACTTCCCACAAATATGCACTTAAATTGTTCATTATATTCTTCTTTATTTATTTCAAGGGGTTGAGGGGGTCTGGTTGACACTAAGACAATACTTTAGTCTTCTATAAGAAACAAATCCCTGTTCTCCACCACTCTGAAGTGCTGGGTTTCAGCTGAGTGCCCGTTCTTCAGAGCACAGTAAAAATATCACCTCTTTTAGGTTTTTCCCTGCAAAGAAACTCTTGAGCAGAGTCTGTGTGAATGACAAGCTCGGCTGGAGTGGCTCTGCACATTAAGGAGATGAGCTCTGTGGTCTCAGCCCCAGTAGACCCCACTGTGGGATCATTTTAAGCCAGGAACAAGCCAGGTTTACCATAGTGCGAGAGTGTGCATGGGGCTATGGTGCCTGGAGCAGGCACACTGCCACCACCATGCTGTCCACTTCCCCTTTCTTGTCGCCTTCTGCCACCACTGTGCAAGGGAAAAACAAAAGAAGGCACCAAGAGGACCCATTCCTGGCTGGAATCACCCTTCCCAGGCAGATTCCCCGGGACTGTGCCAAACACCTCCCACACTATGCCCAAAATGGAAAGGGTGTTTCACCATCTGGGTGAGGGATGTGTCCTGATTTTGGGGGTGCAACCTTTGCACTCCGGGTCACTTGTGTCCTGGCAGCTATTACTATAGGTAGTGCCCATGTGTCCAGAGCTGGCCAGGCTGGTGGTGAAGTGGGGCTGGTTCCACTTACCTCCCCAGCCAGCCCCAGGGTGCCTGGGAGCAGCTCCAGGCCATCTCCTGAAGCTCTGCCAAACCCTAAATGCAGACAGGACATCTAACTCTGCTCTGGGGCACTGGGGAGGGCAGAGGGATTGATGCAGGACAAACCCTGCATCCAAAGGGAACAGGTCACCCCCTCTGTTTTTCCCTCTCCATGCCTTTACTGATAGCATGTTTGCACACAAGGCTGTGACCGGGGATATGTGGAGTGCCCCAGCGTGGGCACTGGAAGATGGGCTGGGGAGTCCCATCCTGCAGTTCCGACCTCCTGTGAACACTAATCTTGAGCTTTGATGGGGGCTCGGCTGTCCATCGGCCAGGGCTACACCCCACGATGTGTTGTACCAGATGCAGCATGTCCTTGCAGCAAGGCTTCAGCCTGAGAGGCTTAGTGGGTCCCCATCATTCTCAGGATCCTTCCCCTGGAAGCCCATCCCTGCTGGAGCCTCTCCAGACACCAGTGCTGGGCAAAGGGACACTGGGATGTACCCAGCAAGCTTTCATCAGCTTCCCAGTCAGGATATGACCGTTCACCTTGAGCCAGGCACCCTGCAGGAGAGTTTCCCTGCAGGATCTGGTGTGATGTGCTATGGCCATTTCCTTGCTGAGCCCATTTCAAAGCCTTCTTTCCCATTCCAGTTTGGCTGGGGTGAGCTCCAGCCCTCCATGTGTATACATCAATGCTTAAACCCACCCTTTAGCACTGGGTGCCACACAAGAAGGTACCTAATGCATTTGGAGAGTCACCTTCATCTTCCTTTCTGAAAACCTTAAGAGGATCAAGAGCATTTCCAGGCATCAGAGTAATGTCTTGGGTTCTTCTTTGCACCTTCCCCAAATGTTCAAGGCCTGTTTGGACACTGCTAAAGAATGCAGCCTTACCCTCAGCAAGCAGAGCAGTGCTTTTGGAGGCCTGAATCTAGAGAGCTGCTTTGGACATGGGGGGACAGCTCGGAGCTCACCCAACTGTATTCTTGCTGAGAAGCCTGCAATAGGGTAGCTGCGAATGCCTCCCTTGGCAGGGCAAGCAGAAGGAAGCCCAAGTCCTGCAAGATCAGCCCCAGGCAGTATGGACAGGAGCCCTGCACAAAGATCCTGCCCCAGTGTCCTAATGACAGAGCTGCTGAGAAGTCAGTGTCCCATGAGCATGGGGTTTGCTGACTCTCACCCTTGCAGGTCCTGATGGAGGGAGGATGGACATATCCCTTGGCATGGTACCTTCAAAAGAGCCCCCAGGAGCAAACACACCCAAAAGGCACCATCGGATTTGGCCAGTGACTTCCAGTCCTTGGAAAGACGGAACTTCTGGGTCTGGTGGTGTCTGAAGCCCCGGCAGAAATGGGTCCTACCTCGCATTTCCCAGGTCTGGCTCATCTCACCAGCCAGCTCAAAGCAGTCCTTGGCCATAACCCAACACTCCGGCTCCTTGGCCATGCCAGAAGCCCAAGATGAGGGGCTGCTCCCAAGGGGGCCATTGCCTCTTACATGGAGGGCAGGGGGCATCTTCTCAGCCACCCCACATGCTGGGTGGGAGAGATAAATAAATACCAGAATAAATAAATACAAGTGGCAAAGAGGCCTGAAATGATGCTGTCGTTTGCTGGGAGTGAGAGACACAAGTGTAATTTAGGTTTTGATATTATCAAAGTCTCGCTGCTCTAAAACAGCAGGGCACTCAGTGCCTCATTAATAAAGGATAAACTTGGAGTCTATTTACAATGCACTTTTTGGGGTTATTTACACTCCATTATACATATGTAATGCTGCACATATTTACCGCTCTGTTCTGCTGCCGAGAGCAGCCGTGTCGGGAGGGAGGCAGGGTGGGAAGCGGCTGATGCTGCAGAGCAGTGACCCCCCTTGGACTGCCCTTTAAATGGCTCGAGATGCAGGAGGGCCCCAAGCCAGCTGCTTGAGGATGGAGGGACTGGGACCAGCCACTGGGAACCAGTGGGCCCAGCACCCACCCCATCTCTGGAGGCACCCCAAGGCTTTGCCAAGGGATGCAGAAGGGGTGAGCTCCTCACCAAGTGACACAGACCTGCAACCATGGCTGTCACAGAGCAGCCAAGTAGAAAAAAGGGGGCTGAATTATTTGCAACAGATTAAGTGGTGCTTGCATTGGCACTCGAGGGGTTTGGCCACGCAGCGCTCCCCACTGACCGGCTTTTACCTCCTACCAAAGCAGAATATCCCAGTTTCCCTGCAAACCATAGCTCCCTGAGGGTCTGTTGCCCTGGGAACCCCAAGCCCATGGTGTTCGTAGGAGCTGCTGTGAGGATCCTGGATCATACAACTGCTGCACCCAGGAAACAGGGCTGCTCCCAGCACCCGCAGGATTCAGGACAAAGACATGGGAGAGGTCACGCTTGGAGAGCACCTTGGCGTCACAGCAAGTCATGGGGTGCAGCAAAGGGTCCCCTTTGAAATCAGCAGAGTTTGGGAGGGTGCAGGGGTCCCATGGGAGCACTCTCTGTGGGGCCAGCACACAAGGAGGGCAGTCCAGCAGGCTATGGATGGGCATGGTCCTGGAGTGTTACCCCCAGCTCTGAGCTGCTCCATGTCTCTTCATCCACAGGCTCTGGGTTTGCATGAGCACAAGAGACCAGTGGCCACCCTACCACGCTGCCTAGGAAATGTGGGGCAAGTCTAACCAGCTCAGCTAGGCAGAGTGGGGAGGCAGACAAGCTGCCCATCCCGTCCTGCTCCCATCCTGCTCATTCCTGGCACTGGGGGAGCACCCACGTTCGCCAGCACGCTCCAGTTTGCTGTTGTCCCAGCCTGGGCTTGCCATATGATGGCTCTGAGGGCAATGCTGTTTATTAAACTGCTCACACAGGCAGCTCCTGGCAAGTCCACAGGAGTGATGTGAACCCCCCTCCTCCGGGAGGACATCTCTTCCAACACAGTGAGGGTGGACCATGGTCGGTGCAACCATGGCTCCAGGCTGCACCATGGTGAGATGCCCTAGGAGAACCAGAGCTTATCAAGTCCAAGCAAATTGCCCCCCACTTCCCTCCTCAGCCCCAATCCTCCTCCACCATCCCTGTCCCCTTCCCAGCCCACCCACATCAGGGGAGGCTGGAGCCTTTGTCCTCCAGGGAGCTGCTCTCCAGGGCCCCATAGCCATCGAGTTTCTTCATCCGAAGGTGGGCTGGGATGGAGGGGAAGGAGCGGCGGGCGGCAAAGATGTGGCTGATCTCCATGAAGGTTTTGTTCTTGGTCTCAGGGATCACGAGGTAGACGTACAGGGCCACCAGCAGGCAGACACCACAGAAAACCAAGAAGCAAAAGGCACCGGCTGACATCTGGGGACAAAAAGAGAGCAGGGATGGGGCAGGGAGCCAGGCATCCCCAAGCTGGGCATGGCAGGAGGCAGTGTCCCCTCCCATCACCCCTCCCTGGGCTGGTTGTCCAGCACAGAGCTGAGCCAAGGGCATGGGTATCCCCTGGGTTAAGCCTGGCTTGGCCCTCTGTCCTGAGGGAGCAGCAGGGATGTGTCCATCCCCTCCTCCACCCATGGCCCCTCCAGACCAGTACCTGCAAGAAGGGGAAGATGAAGCCAATGGTGAAGTTGCAGAGCCAGTTGAGGGACCCCCCCACAATGTAGGCAGCTGGGCGGTGGGACTGCATGAAGAGCTCCGCTGTCATCAGGAAGGGGACACCGGCTGCGGAGGGAAGGACATACTCAGGATATGGGGGACAGGGTCCCTCTGGCACCCCTGGGGTTGCCAGGCCCTGCCCATCCCAGTCCTTTGGCCAAAGGGCTGGAGCCCAGCAAGACCCATGGGTCAAGGCAGTGATGGTGGGAGGGCTGAAGGAGCTGGGGAGCAGAGGACCAGGGTCTCCCTTTGGGATCAGTCTTGGTGGGTGGTGATGTCCCCCCTGACCTACCACAGTCGCACCTTGCTGGGTGTTGAGGTCAATATCACAGGTTACTTGATTGGGAAGTTTCAGACCAAGTCAAAACAGAGGACCATCTGGATACTCATTTTGCAGTAATCTGCCTAAATGCTGATATATTAAATCTCACGTAGACCACAGGCATAGAGAAACGTCTTCCTGGCACCCTCCATAATGCCCTTTCCATCCTCCCTTGCTCAAAATGGCTCAGAAAATCTACTTCTATTGATCAGCTTCTATTGATGCTGAGGCTGATTTAGGCAGGAAAGCAGCAACCACATTTCTGAGCATCAGAATTCCCCGCAGGACATAGAAACACCAATTTCCAACCTGCTTTTCCCATGTTCAATTTAAAAGACCAGAATGAATTCCCAAGCCAACTTGGCCACTAAAACTGGACACAGGTTGTGGCTGCTTCTCAGTAGGACTCAATCCATCACTGAGCCAGCAGCCTTGGATCCCAGGTCTGTCCCTTTGCTGTAGGGCACGATCCAAGGTCCAGCACACATCCCAGGGCACATGGAGACCTGGCAGGAAGCTGTATTTGATGTAGTGACACGACTGAGGTCCTACTGCCCTGGACAGGGCTGACTGGGACCTCTTCAAAAGAGATGCTCCAAGGGAAAAGAGAAATCAAAACCGAGTGCTAGGAAGTGAGGGAGGAGCAGAGCCCCTCACGGACTCTTACTCACAGCTCGCCCAGAATAGAGATATATATTTTTTGTTTTAAAACTCCTATTCATCATTGTTTGTGAACAATGAGCCATTAAAATCCTAATTAAAGATGTAATTACAGTGAATAAAGTCTGGGCTGAGGATGAATTATAGATCTGTTAGCAGCTCTGCTAATACATCAACTGGGTAAACCAGTCCAGGTTTCACTCCTCGCTGTTGAAGCCTGGGCTCAGTTAGGGGCAGGACGATGCTCCCTGTGATAGCCATACTGTGATGGGACCGGGTGACAACTCCAGAGGGCGTGGGGAAGACTGCCAGTACCTCCCTGTTTGGCTCAGGAGCAGGGATGAAGAGGAGGAGGTGGAGTGTGCCCCAGACATTAATGGGGCTGGAGGGGCTTATGGCGGGGTCTTGCTTGTAGGGTGCAGTGTGATAAACCAGGGCCTGGCTGCAGGGAAGGGGCCAAGGAGATGGTCCTTCTCCCTGCCCGCAAACCCCACTGTTCCCTGCTTCCCTGGGACCCCCATTTCCACTGCCCATCCCTCCCATTCCCACTGGCCTCAGTCCTACCTGGTCCTATGCAGAAGCCGGCGATGGTGCCAATCACACAGACAACGCCAACATAGCACATCCAGGGCACGGTGGTCTGCGAGGAGACACGGGGCTGCAGGTGCTACTGGTGTGGTGGCCCTGAGCTTCATGTCCAGGGTCCCCGGGGTGGAGCTTCACCACCTGGCTGGGTGGGGCCCTTGGAGATGGCGGCCACGCACCCATGGGGGAGACTCAGGCAAGCAATGGGTGGTTTGGGGCAAAGCTGGTGAGGGTCAGCCTCAGCACAGCTCAGTGATGCTGAGGTGTCCCCAGTGTTGTGGGAGCATCCCCCAGGGGCAGGCGGCAGAGGAAGGGCCCTGCAGACCTCTCCACCTCCCTTCCTGGGTACAACTATTTCTGCAGAAAAGCTACCACCAATGGCAGGATTTCCCCCATGCGGATTTGGGGTTTCTTCTTTGTTGTTCTTTTCTCCGACTTTTCTTTAACTTTGAAGGGAAAACATTGCTTGGAAGAACCGGTGCACTAACACACCAAGGCTCCAGGCCAAGCCTGGCCTGGGGAGGGTTGGCTGCAGACCCTACCTGCAGCAACAGGGACACGGTGATGCCAGCCAAGCAGATGCCCATGGTGCAGAAGCCAGCGATGAGGAGGGGCCGCCGGCCCAGCTTCTCAATGGTGAAACACTGCCAAGGGAGAGCAGAGACTGATGGGGTGGTGGGGAGCTCCCCACCAGGACGGGGGCACTCCCAGATCCAGTTGAAGGTGTAAGGATGCTCTCAGTGGTATCTAAGGGTTGGGGTACCCCGAGCTCAGGGCACAGGGCTGGGGCCAGGGCATGAGAAGAGCCAGGACTCTTTACAGGCTGCTGAGGGAAGTTGTGAATGCTCCATCCCTGGCAGTGCTCAAGGACAGGTTGGACAGGGTCTTGAGCAACCTGATCTAGCGGAAGGTGTCCATACCCATGGCAGGGGGGTTGGAACTGGATGACCTTAAGGTCCTTTCCAACCCAAACCATTCTGTGTTTCTATGACTCTGAGGTCCCTGGGTGAGCACGCACTGGGCAGCAGCAGGGTCCTGCAGAGCCCCAATAGGGTGCAGAGTCGGGGCTGGCTGGGGTGTCCCCATGGTCACATATGCACCAGTGTACAGCAGAGGTGCTGGTGTGGGCAGGGGGTGTGTGTGGGGCAGAGGAGCAGGGTGCGGGCAGCAGCACGGCTGGAGCAGGCGGGGTATTGACAGCAGAACAAATGCCTCTAATTTTATACCCAATCTCGGCACGTCCGTCGGGGGCCATTTGCAGGGCTGCTCCTGAGCGATCTGGCTGCGTGTCGGGCGGCTGCTGGGAGCTGGGGCAGCCCCACGGACAGGGCAGGGGAGAAGGGGGCACCCTTCGGAGGGGCAGGGGGGTGACCTGGGAGCCCCACTCTGCTGTGGGTTGAGCTGTAGGGAGAGGGGAGCAGTCTCTCTCAGCCCCGGTTTTCTGGGAGCAGGCACCCGCCATCCATCTCTGTAATTGTCAGGGAGCGGATTTAGTGCCGGGTGGCTCAGGCTGGCCCCGGGTGACACTTGCAGATGGGACAAGGGCCATAAATCTGCCTGGCCCAGTGCTAACTCTCCAGCTAAATAAGGCCTGGCTGGGGGGGGCCGTGGCTGATAGCCTGGGGCCAGGCCGGTGCTTGTCTGGGGGGGGGGGGCAGATGGGGACATGTGGCTCTGCTAACAGAGTGACAATGAAATCAGGAGCCAGAAGGAAACACTTAACCCCCTCCATCACCTCCAGCCTGCTCCTAGCCTGGTGTCTCCCCCTCAAGCTCCCTGTTACCCACTTACCTCAAAATTCTCCCATCCCTTCTGGATGAGATCCCACAAATTGAGCCCCTCTCATTCCATCTTTCCACCTCATTTTCCTGCCAAACCCTTTGCCCCCCAGCAAAGGGGCTGTGCTGTGGCACAATTGGCATTTGGGGTCCATCCACACCACCCCCTATTTGATGGTGCTGGGAGCTGGCAACAAGGTTCTGGCACTGAGGGTCTGTGTCCATCTGTCTGTCCATCACTCACCCCTATCAGCCCAGCGACAACTTCAATGGTGCCGGTGCCCACGGTGGCATAGGGGATCTGGGATACGGGGATCCCGGCGTTCTCGAAGATGGTGTTGGTGTAAAACCAGATCTGCGGGGAGGGGACTTGGTGTGAGCTGGGGGTACGGAGCCATGGGATGCTTGAAATGAGCTGCCAGGTCTCAGCTCAGGCCCTGCAGAGCCAGGTCCCGGGGTGAGGACCCTGCAGGGCTTACAGCATCGATGCCCGAGAGCTGCATGCCGGCGTTCACCACCACCACCGACAGCGTTTGCCAGTGCACAGAGCGGTCCCGCAGCAGCTGCCACACAGAGACCATGTCCATGGAGGAGAGCGACTGCTGCTCCGCCTTCATCTCCTCGATCACATCCTGCACATCCGGTGTCCCCAGGAACCGGCGCAGCGCTGTGGGGAGAGCAGGGGTCATAGCCATGGTGCTCACAGGTATGGCACATGGAAGGGGAAAGGCTTGGGTCTGTCTTGGCTCAACCTCCCCACAGGTTCCTGACCCATGGGGCTGGGCGTCCATAGGAACTGAGGAGATGCCTCACACCACAGTGATGGGTACCACAGAAATGCTGTGGTGCAACTGGGTGGGAGAGAAAGGCTGAACCTTCTGGTGAGTTCTCAGGTCTGGACATAGAAGGGTGCTCTGAGGGTGCAGCGTGGTCTTGGAGACCTTGGACTATCATTGGTCTCCCCCAGGACACCTGCTCACCCCTGGTGGTCCCGCAGACATCATCCTTCTCTATCAGCAGGTACCGTGGGCTCTCGGGGAAGCAGTGCAGCAGCAGGAGCTGGAGGGAGGTGGGAATGACCACCACTGACAGGAAAAGGGGCCAGAACCTGTCCTGAGAGGGGTCAAAAGGGGATGTGTCATGGGGAGGGCAGAGCAGGGTGCAGCACACGTGGCTGGGGCACTGTGCTCACCTCACCCAGCAGCTCCGGGAGGCCCAGGACCTGAGCAGAAAAAACCCCTAAGCAGATGAAGATGCTGGGCACGAGCCCCAGGAAACCCCGCAGGTTCTTGGGGGCGATTTCTCCCAGGTAGAGGGGCACCACGCTGAGACAGATACCTGGAGGGACAGGAGGGACTGAGGTGGAAGAGGCACTGGGGAGAAGGGTGCCAGTGCCTACCCAGGCTCTTGGTGCATGCCCAGCATCAGCCACACCTCCCCTCTGCCAGGGAGGTGGCCTTGTCTGCCTTGTCCCCATGGAGACCTCCACAGCAAAGCCTGTGGCCATGGGAAATAGAAAGTCTTCTGCAGCTGACTGGGAATGGGTTGTAGGGCACAGAGCCGTGAGGAAGGGGCTGTGAACAATCCCACAACCCAGGCAGCACTTACCTGAGTGGATCCCTGTGATGCAGCGGCCGATGATCACCATCTCGGGGGACCCCAGCTCCCGGCTGAAGCCCATGAAGCCGCCGGCGAGGAGGACGAGGAGAGAGCTGCGGCTCAGTGCACCGTTCCTAGTGGGCACAAGCAGCAGGGCAGCTCCCCCAGCCCCATCCCATCCCTCGACCACACTGTCCCATGTCACCCCCTTACCTGCCATAGCGCTCCACCAGCACCCCCACCAGCAGGGAGCCCACCAGCCCTCCCAAGGAGAAGGTAGAGACAGTCAGGGAGTAGAGGAGGGTGAGGGGGCCGGGTGCCAGCCCGTGCCCGTACCTCTGGGACCATGTGGTGTTGTAGAAAGCCTTTATGTGCTGCAGGGCAGAGAGACACAAAACAGGCACCAGATGTGCTGGGAGAAAGAGGAAGACAAGGGATGATAGCCCCCATAGGAAAATGTCATGGGTTTAACATCACTGCAGGAGATGAGGGGCAGGATGTGACTGGTGCTGACTGGAGTATGCTGGTCTGGTTGCTCAACCAGCCTCAGCACCAGAGGGGTTTAAGGACAACTTGGAGATGGCACAGGAAAAGCTGGAGAAAGGCAGCTGTGGGGACTGCTCCCCATGGGAGCCGAAGGGAAATGCCAGCGCTTTGGTGTGGGGCTGCTGGGTAGCGGTCCTCCCACCCTCTCCAGGAGGGACACGGAGCCCTTCCCCTGCTCCGGAGAGGCTTCCTGTCCCTTACCACCGCCGGCGAGTTCACCACAGCCAGGTTGTAGCCATAAAGCATGGAGGAGCCAAAGGACACCAGGAGGGTGACTGACAGCAGGGGAAAGGTGAGGTGCTGGAAGACAGAAGAGGGATCAGCACAAGGTCACTTGTGGCATGAGCTGCGTTGGGTCACTGCCCTTTTCTAGTAGGGATGTCCCTGACCCAGAGCAAAGACCCCAGCGTGATGGAGCCCTGTGCTGAGCACTGCTCCATGCCACTGCCCAGCACCAAGCCCAGATGATCCGGCTTCCCCGTCGCTGGTCTCCTGGCTGTGGCGTAAGGCTTTACCTGGAGTCGGAGAGGTGGCAGCGGGCAGAGAGGGGCAGGTAGGTGAGGAAGAGACACCCGTGTCCCCCTGTAGATGGGGACTCCCAAAAGGCAGTGCTGCGAGCTGCCCCACACATAACCCCCACCAGGTAGGCCCAGCACCACTGAAAGGTCCAGCTCCCTGCAGCAGATCCCATCCCTCCCCAAATGCACCCACCTCCTACACCCTGACCCCCACCAGCACCTCTGCCACATCCTCTGGTGCAGCGGGGGCCCTCATCCCCAGCCCTGCGGGGTCCCGCTCGGGGTCAGGGCTCACAGCAGGACCAAAAGGCATCCAGGGCCCCCCAGCCTCAGGGGCACCCCTGGGGTGCTGCACCCGCTGTCTCCGCCGCAGTAATGCGTGCGGGGTGAGCCCGCGTCCCCCGGCAGGGGGGAATGTCAGAGCAGGGGCCGGGTTGGGTGGGGGGGGGCAGACGGGGAGCGGGGATGGGGCAGCCCCCCAGCCCGCAGGGAGCTCACCCCAGTGATGTCCCCGCCGGGCCGCGGGGTCTCTTTCCCGACCGTCGCGGCGAGGCTGCAGCCGGAGCAGGGGGAGAGAGGAGAAGGGGAGGGAGAAGGCAGCCCCGGTCCGGCGGGCTCGCTCGAGTCTCCCATTTTTAGCTGGGAGCAGGAGGAGGAAGAGGGGAGGGAAGGGAAGGGAAGGCAGGTCGGGGCAGGTCAGCAGCCTGGGTGCCCCGGGGCTCATTGGAGGCGCCTGAACGGCCGGAGGAGGAGCCCAGGACCTTCCCCCTCACCCCTCCCCATGCCGGGGGCAGGGGCAGGCCGGCACCTCCGGGCTGCACAGCCGGGAGAGAACGGGATCCCCGGTGTGATGCTCTGGCACCGTCGAGAGGCCCCACATGACCCCTACAAAGCGGGATGGCCCAGGGGACCATAAACAGGGCAGGATCCCTGCATCCCCACCGAGGCTGGGGGAGAAGGGGCAGCCTCACATCACCAAACACCCCCGTCATCCCCCCCCCCCCCAGCCCCTCTCCCACCCTGGCAGATGTGCCCCATCCATCGGGTAGGAAGGCGGGTAACCCACCCAGCCACTGCTCAGGACAGCTGCCTTCCCCGGACACAGAGAGGGGCCAGCACCCAGCCCCAGAGATGAGAGAACTCGGCTCATGGCAGCTCAGAGGAATCCAATTTTGCTGCGGCCAGGAGCTGCCTCCCCTGCTGTTAATGAAGTGCCTTTAATTAGCAGCCTAATAGCAAGCTCTTAATTTGCGGAACAGCCAGTTGAAGGGATAGGGACCCCACTAAGCCAGGGCTGGCAACAGCTCCAAGGGCTTAAAAGGGACAGGCCGCAAGTTGGCCCCACCATGGGAGGCTCCCAGCCACGTTCCCATTCCCACAGCCTGCCAGCGTTCAGCTTTTCCCCAGGCAGGCACCTGCTCAAGAGCATCTCTGCCTCACTCAGGCTCGGTTTCTCCATGTCTCATCACCTTTACCTTTGTGCAGGTGCGCTGGGTGACTGCAGAGACTTGGGTGACAAGGCCACAGTGGGAAGAGACCTGCAGGAAGTCACGGTCCTTCAGGGGATGGTCCCATTTCATTCCCAGAGCAGCAGGATGAAGATCCATTGATCAGACATGCCCATGGGTGAGATGCCCCAGCAGGAGGAGGACATGCAGCCTGTGGGTACCAGCCGTGCCCAAAGCACTTGCCTTGCTGTGGGGGCATCCCTAAACACCCTCAGGACTCACCCCAAGCCCTGTGCTAAGACAGGGCAAAGCATCGGACCGGGAACAGGATGATAAGCCAGGCTATGCTGTGTCCATACTCACACGACAGTCAGCCAGGTACATGGCTTGTTTCTTGGACAAGCACCTGGAGGGTTAAATGTGCCCAGTCCAGTGGTCCCTGCCATCCTGAGCCATCCCACCTAATGGCCCTCCTGGATCATCCCAGCCCTGCTGCACTGAAGTCTTTACCCATTCCCAAGACCAGTGCTTGGACCAAGCAGGGACATCCTCAGGATGTTGCTCCAAGCCAGGGGGGGGGGCACTGCCTTGATTTAGGGGATAAATCTGGGTTAGTGCCACTGGTTGCCAGCAGCAGCTGGGATGCTGGGAGCAGTGGTTTACCAGGAGATGAACAAGTGAGAAACACGTGCTGGGGGAGGAAGGGAGAAGAGCAGGAGGAAAGCCTGGGGTGCCAATTAAGGGTCACTAGGGAGCTGGGTTAATTGGAGACATTCCTGCGACCTGACCCAGTGACAGAGACACACGGTAAGACAAGTGCTGGTGAGAAACACGCGCTGCTCCGTGCTCCGAGGGAGCTCGTCTCTGCGATTTACAGGTGTCCCTATTCTTCCCCTGCCTCCATGCAAGGGCTCTCTAGCTAAAACACCACAGCCCTGGCCTGGGAAAGCATCTGTGAGCCCACAAACCACCCTCATCCCCTCTCACTGACACCCCCAGGAGCTCTCATCCCACTCCTGCCTCACTGCTGCCCCAGTCCCCAGAACTGTACCTGTCCCAGTGCTCCACACCATGGGATGGATGCTCATGCACCTCCTCCCCTCAAGGCATTGCACACACAGCACCCGGAGCATGCAAGTAAACCCAGGAGGACCAGGAGAGAGGCAAATCAGCAAGAGTCAGTTCCAGCATAAACCCTGCATTTGCCAAAGACAGGAGGATGGGGATGCTGTTGGGAGCCCCAAGCTTGGCAGTGTGGTGCTGTGCAGGGTCCCAGCAAAGCCCAGCTCCCCATGGTATGGGCAGAGGATGGATCCATCCTGCCCCAGGGAGTTTGCGTGGAAGGGAAGGACAGAGCCAGCACCATTGCAGTGGCAGACAACCTGGTGCCTCCTGCCTCCTTGCACAGCTCCCCAGGGCCACACATGAGATCCCACACCAATGACGTGAAACAAAAACTAGCATAAGGATATCTGCTCATAAATCCAGGACACCTGGAAGGAGTGGGGAACGCAGCAGTGGGTAAGACCCACTGGAAGAGTCTGTCCCCTTTTCCGAGATTGGATGGAAATTCCTCGGGGAGAACATGGCCTTCAGTGCCACCTCTTGGTGTTTGCGCAGCACTGTCTAGTCCAAACTAGGACAAAGTCCACAAGGAAGCAGTAAATGGCCCAAATGCAGGCAAAAAGATGAATTGTTTAGCAGCCACTAAGCCCCTTCCCTGGGCTGGGAACTGAGCAGCACGGGCAGAGCCGCTCGCAGGCATCTCCGCAGCTCCAAAGGTCAGAGCAGTTTGCTGGCACTGCCCTTTCGGAGTTGACACTGCAGAAAGGGAGATGCTCCAGCAGCTCCCCCTACTCACTGCCCCCTCGGGGGGAGAGGCCTTGCTTGATCTGCCTCTGTAAATGCCAGCAGGGTGCTTTGGGCACGGGACAGGGGTTTTGGACACATCCGCTGTGAGATGTTAACCAGGGCCATGGCTTTCTGCAAACCACAGAAGCCTCCAGGAGGAATCAGCAGTGTCTCTAGTGAAAGCACTGCTCAGGCTGCTGGCTCTGCCCTGTTACACTCAAAGCCCATCTGACTCCGTTCTCCAGCTGCAGGAAAGCTATTCATGTGTACAGGTGAAACCTTTGCAAGCCCAGGTCTTCCTGGCCATATTCCTTATCCAGCTCTCTTCATGCTAACACAGTGCCACCCAACAGCTCAATTCATCCTAAGCATCTTTTGTAACAATTGTGTTAATTCTAGCCCCATAGCTCTAAACTGGCCTATTTCCTCTTCCCCCGAAGTAGCTTAATATACTCTTGAAAGCATCTTTAGGAGAGAATAAAAATAAATAAATAAGAGTAATTTCATTTTAAAGCTGTAGGTTGATCAAACACTGTTAATTTGAAGCTATGGCAAACATTACTTTCCTCCTTCATTTGAAGTGGAAATAAGGCACACATTTTTAAACAAAAAGGGTAATTAACCACTGAATCTATTTAAGATAAGCTGTCTGGTGTTCGTGCTTTTCCAGTGGAAATTTACAATGGAGATTGCTTTTCTTTCTCAAAGACTCTTTAGTACCTGAGATTTTGGATGCGATGCCAGAATTCCTGGGAGTTTTCCAGCCTATGCCCATGCCCTGCAGCACAGCACTGTCCCAGTATTAGAAATCGGAAATAAATACTCTGATCTTCATCTCTAAACATCAAGAAGAAGGGGGAAGGACCAGCTAAGGAAGAGCTGGAAATACCCACAAGGAGAACCTGTTTCTCGTAGGACGGGGTAGTATGTGTGTTGTTTGGGTACACGTGGAGACCTGGGCCTGTGGGTACAAAAGGGAAGGGCTCTCATTTGTGTGTGCCGGCAGTCACATGTTGTTCAAGTCAAGCTGCATCCTGCATTACAGACTGATCCGAAACGATGGATGAAGCCTGTCACCACAATTCCTCTTCCAAATCTATTACTGGATGGGAGGAAAGAGCAGGGAGGGAAGAGAGAAGGTTAAAGTGGTATAAATACAAATATATAGGAACACAGCCCCCAAACCCTTAGCTAAACAAAGCACACAGCCACTGGGAACCCTGTCACAAAGAGAGACGGGGATTGGAAGTGATGGGAATCCTGCTCCCAGCGCTTCAGAAAAGCAGGAGCCTTCGCAATTTCCAGTCCCCTGCTGGCTCCCAAGAATGGAGCCAGCAGGGAGAGAGGCTGCGGAGCAAGGGTTTGTTTTCTGACCACCCCAGGAGGCAGGATCTTAAATCTGTGGTGGCCTTTGTTTTAAAAGGGGCTGTTAAGTAGGGAAGATCCAAGGCTGCTGTCTGAGGAGTGTTTTTAAGAGAAAGGTGTTCTGAGGGCAAGGGTGCTTGTGCTAAAATTGGGGTGAGCCACGAGCATGACAGCATCCCAAGCAACGGAGCTGCATGGTGATGCTGCGATATGTCAATTACTCACTCATTAT